AATCTATTCTTTTCCTGATTGATTTGTACCCAGAGATTGGGGAAAAAATCAGAAGGTGCCCTTCTCCAGAGCTGTCCGGGCATGTACACAACCTCCCCTGCTGATGCCAGGGCATTGGCCAGCGTCCTGAAGATCAAGCTCCTGCACCTCCCCCACCCCTTGCCACGTTCCTAGAAAGACGGATAGTACTGGCTTTTCTCCTTTTTCTGTCATCAACAACCCTCTCCATTTCACTGGCTCCTTAGGTAGAACCAACCTGAGATCTAGGTCTGGAGCCCTGGGTGAAGGGGAGTTAACAATGACCTCAAACTGGCAGGTGCCATCCATACCTTGACAGCCAAGCACATCCCTTTGTTTCCCTCTATTTTGCTTCCAGGAGCAATTTTATTTCATTGCTAACTCTGCTTTTTAATTTTTCTTCTTTAACTAGCAAACACAGGTTTGTACACTGCTACAGTGTATTAGTATTGATCCTGGGTTTCCTGGGGTCTGGAGTCCTTTTACTCAAGAGAACTAACTAGACTGGAATAGTAGAAAGCAGAAGGTAGGTTGATTATGAAAGATCAAACTACTGAGAGATTTTGATTCAAAAAGCAAGAAGAGGTGTCTTGGGATCACCCAACTTGGTGGATCAAGGGTGTGTGTGTGTGTGTGTGTGTGTGTGTGTGTGTGGTGTGTGTGTGTGTGTGTGTGTGTTTGAGGGATAGGAGGGAATCTCTTCCCCCTGGCCAGTTCTGCTTTTCCCCCTTCTCTAAATGGTATTTTCTCTATCACTATCACTCTGCTGAGCAATGATTCTCCCTTTCAAGTCTTTCTGAGACTGGAAAGAATGTTCCATGTTTAAAGCCTAGGAGTGGCCAGCAAGGGTCCATGGACCTGCAAAGAAAGGGTCATTGGATAAACTTTAAAGGTTCTGTGAACTTGAATGAGGACAAAAAAGTCATATACTTATTTCAATATTACTGGTTTCCTTTGTAATCCTAGGTATTTTATCTTATGCATTTAAAAACATTATTCTGAGAAGGGATTCATAGGCTTTACCTTTCAAAGGTGCCCATTACACAAAACAACTTAAAAACCCATGGCCTAGAGAATCCTGCATAATGGATCTCTGTGTTTTAGCTTCCCCTTATATGCCTCAAGGCTACGGAAATGTCCTCAATGAACCCATAAAACCACCTTGGTTGCAAACCCCAGGAATTCTGTAGGATTCATTCAATAAACTTTTATTGAGCATAACCAACATGCCTCAAACACATTGATGAGTTAGGGGGATGTCTACTCCAAGCATGTGAAGACCGCCCGTGGTGGAATTGGTAGATGAGAACAGTCTGTTCCAATGGCCATGAAGGCAGCTGAAGCAGGCCTTTGTGGATCATCCATCACATCCTAGGCCCTTGCCTGTTGTCTCGACTTTTGTCCTGCCACTGAACTTCAATGACTCTGGAAGAGAGACTGAGGTTGATGATGTTGTACAACTCTGCCTCACTTAAATCCAATTCACTTGAAAGACATCACCCATCACATCGTGATGTCATTGGTCCTCTTCAAAAGAGAAGGATGAACACTAAATTCTTTTACTAATCATTGGGAAAGATCTCAAATTTTGTTGTTATATAGTTTCTACCATCCTAGACCTTCCTTTCTAGTAGAGGGATGAGACACACAGATAATTAGAATATACTTTAAATGATAAGGCATTAGAGAAACACAAAGAAAAATGCAATGTGAAGTGTGAGGAGGAAAGTCCTTACCTTCAAACCAGAGGTGGGGACTAGGGAAGGGCTTCATGAAAGTAGTAGCACTTAAGCTGGGCTTTAAAGCATGGTAGGAATTTAATAGGTGAGGAGTACGGCAGTGTATTCCAGGTATCTGGAATAGCAAGACCATCAGCTTGGAAATAAGAATAGAGGTTAGAGCAGTGTGGCACAAAGTGACTAAAGGGGTATGACCATGTGGTAAGACTGGAAAGGTAGACTAGTACCCATTTGTGGAGGACTTTGAATGCCAGGCAAAGCAGTCTGAATACTGCTCAGTAGGTGACAGGGAACTACTAAAGCTTTTTTTTTTTTTTAGGAGAGGAATGATACTGTTGGAAAGAAAAATTATTCCTACATCTGTATAAAAGACCATTTTGGGCCAAAGGAAAGAAAAGAATGGATATGAGGAGATCTTTTAGGAGGCTCTTGAAATTATCCAAAGAGGGTGGCAATGAGGACCTATACTAAGGTAATGGGAAAGGAGAAAGGACAGGAAGGGCAATAGACGTCATGATTGGACATATACTGTTTCAAAAAGAGGAGCAGAGCATCTCTTTTTGGAGAGGGGCTCCAAGATGTATATGTATAGAGGCATAGCATCTCTCTGGCCTTCTAACATTTCCCTTTTTATCTCTATAGTTGGTTCTGACAGGAAGAACATGGGTATGGGAAGGAGCATATTCTAAAAGGATTTGATTAAAGAAGACCTTTTGGAGAATGATAATGACATCATTAATAATTCAGCTGGCTAGAGTGTGGGCTGGAGGGGTAAGGAAGGGCCTTGTCCACCTGCTACCCACCTGACTTGAAACTGGATAGAGGATGGGCTAGGGCAACTGTTTACTCTTGGGAACTGTTGCAAAACTTGCTGTCTGGGACCTTGGCAGCTGAGGGGAGAGGGAGGATGGAAACATGCCAATGCTTTGGAAGCCTGGACTGACCTCTGTTGAGCTGGCCATTGAATGTCAGTTTTGGCTCCACAGCTTCCTGGGGGGCATGGGATAGCTGGGGAGAGATACAGGAAGGGGGGGAGGACAAGGGAGCCCTAGTGAAGTAGTTTTGATACAGTAGAAAGTACATTGGTCTTTGAGGATGTGAGTTTGAGGTTACTTTTGTCACTCATTACTTGTGTGATCGTAGGAAATTCATTTAACCACTTTGGGCCTCAGTTTTTTATCTACAAAATTAAAGAGTTAGACCAGATGACCTTTAAAATTCTTACTGAATCTAAACCTATGATCCTTTGATGATGATATCTTCTCCTAAATGAGAGACATCCCTCTCGAGGCCATATAAATCAGAGATTTAGATAAGATGATCCTAAAGCTCCCACTTGAATTTTATTCAACAAACATCATGTAAGAGGGACTAGGGGACTCTCACCACATCAGTTTGATGAGTTTACCACTCTCACTATAGAGTGGTAGTTTCCAGACTTTATATAGCAATGCACACTTTAAAAAAAATAAGTCACAATTTTTGACATACTTTACACAATTCAAGTGTAATTGTTGAAAATGTCAACAAATCATCTATAACAGTTTTTGAGTTATTTCCATTTTTACAAGTTGCAGGGTTTTTTTTAATTTTGAAAATTAGCTTATTACATTATACTTAAAATCAATGCAATTGAGAAATACAACAGATCTTAGGATACTTTGTTTAACTTTGAGTTTACATCCTTCAAAATCAACAAGCTGCTCGACACAGTCCAGCCAGTGCCAACTGAAGGTGATGGTAGCCCTATTCACCTGGGATGACTCAAACTTGACCTTGTTTACCCATAGTACATTAATGGGCTTTTGTATTCAATGCCAGAACAAATTTGACACGTCACTCTTGCTTTGGTGGCTTCAATTAGAAATATGTTTATGCCAAAAAGGGGATGAATTTATGCAGGAGCTACACTGGAAAATACCCAATAATTTCAGCCACTTCTTTGTGGTAGCACAAAATTCTCTACCTTCAGGCTTTGAAAACTAAGAGAACAAAGACAACTCCTCTTGCATTTATCAAAAGCCTTTAAAAAATATATGTATATATGTGTATGTATATATATACATACATATAAGATATCAGTAGATTCTAGTGCCGGCACTAGCTGAGATTAAGTAAGATTCCCCCCTCCCTTTCATATTGGTAACCTTGAAAGGCTTAATGCTGAAGGTTCTCTTTTTTCTCTAGCTGGACTCTCCTCCCCACTCGCCTTCCTAGAAGGGGTGGCAGAAGAAGGGGAAGGGGAAAGCTGTGTCGGAAGACTCCTCACGGCCCCATCACCCCCTCCAGCACGGATGCAACCAGAATTCCCTCCCCCCCCTCCACCCTACGTGGAAAGGTCTGACCTGACTGCAGCTGTTGCTTGCAGCCTTACCCAATAAAGCAACGGGGCTCACTATTTGCTAGGCAAGTCCAGGACATGAGGACCTTAAAGGCGGCTGGATGCAGTGGTGGGAGGGACCCCGGGCCTCCAAAGCTGAACCAGCCCCAATTAGGACCCCTTCTGCCCTTCTCCCCCTGCCCACGGGCAGGATCATCATGGCTACTGGCCTCGCCGAGGGATCAGGCCTACCGCCCCTATGCGTGGCACCTATCGTCCGAAAGCCGGTCCTGCCTATCTCCCCACTAATGTCCCCGCCCCCAAGGGGGGAGGGGGGGGAGAGAGAGAGAGAGAGAGAGAGAGAGAGAGAGAGAGAGAGAGAGAGAGAGAGAGAGAGAGAGAGAGAAGGCGCAGGACTGTAGGACTGTTTAGTGACGCGCGCTCAGGAGGGAGAGTCTGGGTCAGGAAAGGCGAAGGCGGGACCGAAGTTGGGAAGAGCGGAGCGAGGAGCAGAGGCTGCTCGGCCCTGCCGGCTGGGAAAACAGGACTACAAGTCCCAGCAAGCCTCAGGTTTGCCTTCGGGGGCGGGGTCACGGCCGGGCAGCGAATGGGAAAAGAGCCTCAGGAACAGGCTAGGAGACACGTGTGGCCAATCCCCGGGATCTCCCAGCCATGAGCAGATGGAAGGGGGTGGGGGGCGGGGAGGAGCCTGGGTAGGCCCCGGACAAAAGCCGGGGCTGAGGCGGCCGCTGCAGGCACAAGTTCTTAGGGGCAAGCAGGGGGAGGAGTGGCTGCAACTAGGCCTTCGGCAGGACTACTACCGACAGGCAGCCGCAGAGAGGTGAGTTGCGGGCGGCCGCGTGGGCCGCGGCAGGGATCCTTTTCCCCGCCCGCCCGCATCCCCCCATCCCCTTTAGCCTTACGACGGTCGCATCGTGTGGACCTGGCGCCTGGGCCCCCTTCGCGTTGGAAGTTAGCTTGTTCGGAGCTTCGGGATCTCCTTTCCCTGGTCATCTTTGCGTGGTCCGCAGCCATGGTCAGCCCACTGACCCCCTCCCCCATCAAGCCGTCCATACGCGCATACGCGCCTCTGGACTTTGCCAGGGTCTTTCCGGAGCTGGTGCTTGCCCTTCTTCCCGCCTCTGCCCCCCACTGGCGCTTCCATGGCACCTGTCGCTGCCCGGTTTTGTTCCCAGCCGGGGCTCCACCCCCGCCTTCCCCGCCTCCACCCCCAAGGAACCGGGCACACGGAGCGGGCCCAAGCCTGGAGGAAAGGAAATGGGAAAAGCGCGGTCAGCTCGAGCAAGCCCCGAAGAACGTCCGCCCCACACCCGGTGATCTTTACCACCCTTCTCCTCCAGCGTGGGTTTAGGGGTTCGAGCCCCACTTAGGCCAGTAAGGGATAGTAGGGTCTGGCAAGGGGGCGCGGTTCTGTGACTCCCTCGTGCTGTCCCGGAGTTCTCCCAGGTCTTGGTTTGTTGGAAAGGACATTGGGAGGTGGGGTCTTCTTGGCCTGGAATGGGCGGGGCCGGGATTAGGTGTTAACGTGATGCCATCTCGTCCGGCTGCTCTATCCATCCAGATGGTCAGAATGGCTGGAGGACCTCCCCCCACTCCCATCCCCTCCCCTTTTTCTTCCCCTACTCTGGTTGGAGAAGAAGGAAAGGGAATGGCTGGTGGGGATCCAGACTCTTCTCTGAACTCCCCTCCCCTCCCCAAATATTGGCTAGCACAATATACCACTTAGGAGTTCTGGCCTCTCCACTCCACGTGAATCACTCTTTGGAAGGTGGTACCAATGACCAGGTTGTATCTGAGTGATTGGATGTAAGGCAAAGATTAAAAAAAAAAAAGGCAGGCTAGCAATTGGGAGGGGATTGAGGGTTCTTATTTATGACACCTTTTAATGTGATTCCAACCCCCTTACTTTTAATTAAGACTAGGCTTTAGCTCACTTTCCCAGTCCCTTCTGTATTGATGAGTGAGAGAGAGGCACACCCACCTCCTGGTGAATCTCACACTACTTTTGTCAGGCCTGGCACTTCTCCTAGAAGGCCTCGGTCATAGGGTATCTCCAGTGACAGTGGGATAGGCTTTAAGATCTCAGGAAAGGCCTTAGGGTCCTTGGGGGTGATACTAGTTTAGGGGAGAAGAAGTAGAGGCAATAAGGGCTTTTCATCTAATTTGGGTGTCTCACACACCACGTAACACACACTCAAGTATAATGTCCCATATATTAGGCCCTCAAAGGGGGACCCTGAAATGGACTGCTACCAGTTCTGTTTCAGGCTTGTGATCAAAAATACTGTTAAGATTTCTTTTGGGGGATAAAATGGAGGGTAATACACCTCTGTCAAGTCACACTCAAAGAAAAGACCTTTTTAGGATTTCCTCATTTCTTATCCTGTTCCTTCTGCTGGCTATCCCATTTTTCTCTGACTGCTATACTTTGGAGAGCTGATACTTGTCTAGATGGGGAACTAGGCTGTGGGATACCTCCTTCTGTCTTAACATAAGATGCCTTTGAGTTTTAATTTGCTAGGATCCTTGGTGAGGAGTAGATGTTAATTCTCTTGTTATTCATCCTTTTACATAGAAATGAGTGTAGCCTCGTACCCTGACTGGTCTATAAATCACCCCTCTGTTTATTAGCCACAACTTTTCTTTGTCAGCAGTGATAGGTTCCTGGGGCTTTAGTGGTAAATCCTCTGAACCACTAACTCTATCCGCACCCCCCCACGCCCAACCTGAAATTGAAATTCAGTTGAAATAGAAAATTCAATTTCCTGGATAGTTGGCTGAAGCTCTCTGGTGGCTTCACCTATGGTTGGTGAACTTATTTAACATAGACCCTTCAGCCCTGGCAAGATACAAAAAGTCAGTTAATCCCTTCTTCTGACTTTAAGATTCTGGCTTTTAAAGTACATTGGCCTCAGTTACCACTTGGTTGGGTTTGCCTTTCCTATGAACAATGAGTGAATGTACCACTCTAACCAGCAGACTCCCTGTCTCAGTCTGGAAGGACCTAGCCTTGGGAAAAAATGCCATGAGTGTAAATACAGCTCCCTACATTACCATCTATTTTGTGTTTCTCCTCCTGAGATGTCCCTTTAGGTATCTGATCTCAGATCTGGGATTTGCCTGGGAAGCAGGGCAGGCTCTGACCTATAGATCTTCCGATGAGGAGATTCATAATCATGATTGGGTTTGGTGGAAGAATGGGAACTGAGCCATAGGAGATGACTAACTGGCCCCTCTCCTCTCTTAGTTATGTGAACACCTTTCCTTGTTGTCGAAGGATGTCCTTGGTGACTGGTAATTTCTTCTTCTTGCCATCTGTTATTTATTCATTGTGGGGTTTTTTTCCCTTTTTCTTTGAGTCCCAGTCACTCCATTAGTTTTTAGCAAACAGATCCTTTGTGTCTTCTCCACTACAGTTTTGTTAATGGAAATTATTTGAGGGAAGGGGTTAGAATGCCAGACTTCTAAAATATTTCCCAGGTGGTTGCATTCTGCTCTCTATTGTTCTACCCCTAGTTGGTACTTAAGTAGGTCTGAGATGTTGGGGCATCTGTGACACTGTTACAATGACATACTATCTAAATTGATCTCGGGGATAGGGGGTGAGAAGGGACTATAGAATGAACTTTCCACCTCCATCCCTACCATGGCATTTGTCTGCCTCGGCTTTATTTAAGGGGAAAAAGGGGGGTGTGTCCCATTCTATTTCAAGACCAGTTTTTCTGGTCCCAGAGTCAAGAAGGTTGGGAAATTGTCTTTGAGAACTGGGGTAGGTGGAGGTGGGGCTGGAGGGGAGGCCTGCGTTCTGGGAAGTCAGAAGAATCAGCCCCAAATTAGGAAGAAATGGCTAGGGACACAAGGCAGTTGCAAAAATGAAAAGGCCTCCAATTGCTCTCACTGCCATACCTACTGGTTCTTTTCTGTAGCATTGAGAGCTCAGTCTGATTACACCCATTTTATAGACTCCTTCCATTGCAGAGCTGTGTTTTTTGAGGGGGGAGTCTCTGGGTGTCCTATAGATAAGAAAGATGATTCTCTAGGTCAGGAAGGGATATAATATAATCTGATTTGATAATATATTTTGGAAGCTACTGGCCTACCTCAGTCCTTCTTATTGCCAGCCCACAAATACTTGGCTCTGTCTGACAGTGAGCAAAGACCTTAGCTTGTCAAGAGTTTGGGGTACTAGATGTAGCTTCTTCGGGGAGTAGAGTTAGGGGGAGTGAGGTCAAAAGAGCCTTGGAGGTCAAAAGAGAGCCTTAGAGATCATCTGGTCCAACCCATTCTGGTTTACATCTGGGGAAAATGAGGCCCACAGAGGTGGCTTGTGGACGCAAAGTTGGTGGTAGAATTATTATATCCCTTAACAGGATAAGAAATGAGGAGGAAACCCTAAAAAGGTCTTTTCTTTGAGTGTGACTTGACGGAGGTATATTACCCTCCATTTTATCCCCCAAAGGAAATCTTAACAGTGTTTTTGATTACAAGCCTGAGTTAAAAAAAAGACTTCAATCAAATAAATTTAAAAAAATTTATAAAGGATGCTGGGAGGAGGTAAGCTATATATCCTCCATAAGTGGAGAAGGGAGAGGACAAGGAGATGGGGGCTGCATTGGCCGACTTTCAGACAAGAGCCTCTCTCATTAGCATGCTTCACTTCTGATCCCTGGATGGGGACAAGATTCCAGACATGGCAAGACCTACAAAAACCCAGATGAACACTGGCCAGAAGCCACTAACCTTGACATTTTCCCCAACAAACATAGCATTGCCTTTCCTGATCTTTATGTGTTCAAGGGAAGAAAGCCTTGTTTTCTTTGTAACTTCACTTATGCAGGCACAAGCAGAAATCCTGACTATATGTTCCCCCCTCCCCTTTCATCTTTTTTTCTTTTTCCATTGGCCTCTCCTTCCCTTTCCCTAACCTGTTACTTCTGCTATCTTGGGGTTCCTAAAAATAAATTAATAAAAATTCACTTGATTCTCCCAATGTCAGGGAGTCCCCTTCTGTAGGGTCCCCAGGAGCCCAGCTGAAATAATCGTTTCTTTAGAGCCTCAGAGATCATCTGGTCCAACCCATTCTTGTTTTACATCTGGGGAAAATGAGGCCCACAGAGGTGCCTTGTGGACACAAAATTGGTGGTAGAATTAGCTAGTCCATTGCTCTAGGAGTGACTGGTACATGTGGAGTTCCTGAGATGCACAATTACTACAGCTAAATGACCTGGCTGGGAGGCCAATAGGCTCATTGTTCTGCCAGGCCTACTGGTCTCCTCCTCTGTATAATAGGAATATTCTGGAGGGAGGGTCTGATTTGATAATATATTTTGGAAGCTGCTGGCCTACCTCAGTCCTTCTTATTACCAGCCCACAAATACTTGGCTCTGTCTGACAGTGAGCAAAGACCTTAGCTTGTCAAGAGTTCTGAGTAATAGATGTAGCTTCTTTGAGGAGTAGAGTTAGGGGGGAGTGAGGTCAAAATTGTGGCTAGGGGTTCAGAGAGAAATCTAGAAGGGGATTGTGCAATTCTGGTTGGGTGCATTAGAAATTGGGGAGCTGTGTATGTATGCTGAGTAACTTGGGGTCACAGGAGTTTCCTCTGTGTTGTATCTGGACCTCCTTAGCTCAAGAGTTCTTAATCTGGGTTCTGTGAACTTAGTTATTTAATATTTTGAGAACTGTATTTCCATGTAAGTGAGTTCCCTTGTAATCTTGTGTATTTTTGGTTTTATACTTAAGAACAGGAAGGTGTCGACAGGTTTCATCAGACCGGGACACACAAAAAAACAGCTAGCTGCTCTTTCTCACACCCCCTCCCCATCATCCACAAAATGTAGCAGGAACGTAGGGTTTCTTTCCCTTAAAATACATTGCCAGCCTGGAGTGAAAGCAGAGCTGAAATTAGTTCCTCAGAGAAAGAGTTATCCCTGACTTCCTCCTGGTTTTGTTCTTCTGGTATCTCTTATCCTTCCCTAGTATTAGGGAAAATTCCACTTTATCCCCCTTGGAGCCTTTTT